TCAATTTCCATATGGAAAAATAATCTAAAGTAAACTGCCCTGTGCAGTTAACAGGAGCTATTTTTCCAGGAGACAGCAAATCAAAGGAAACATCCAAAGGAAAACAAAAACACCTTCCCCCCAGAGACTGCCTCTGTCTGCCTTTATTGCCTCCATCCCATATTTTCATCTCATCCATGAAATGTGATTTTAAGGAGACATGGACTCGTCTCTTTGTGCCTCGGGTCTTCTCTGAGACCAACGGGAAGAGTGAAGATGTTTCTGGATCTCTCCTGACTCTGCTCCCTTCCCACCCCGCTTAACCCCTGCTCCTGCCTTCTGCAGACTTTTAGAGGGATTACTCTCCACTTTCCCTTGGTAGGGTGCACCAGCTTCAGCCTGCAACTGCAGACACTTCTCAGGAGGCTTCCCTGGAGGCTCAGGCATAGCATCCCCTTCTCCAGGCTCATTAAAACACCCCCCATCAAAGTCAGAGCCTGGGAGCCTAGCAGAGAGACAATTCCGGACAGCTCCCACAGGGCACCGCCTGGAATGCCAGTCCTGCGTTTGCATTCTGTGCGCCTAGCCTGTGCAAAGGTCCCGAGAGGCAGGCGCTCAGCAATCCCTTTTGATACATCAGGCTGCTGGCTCTCTGCTGATGGAACAGCTACTTAACATGCAGCCTTTCCTCTAGCTCTCCCCCCCTGCTCTCTCTTCAGATCATTGTAGTGGCAAGCCTAGAATGAGCATCTCTCTCCTAAGAGGCTGCCAGGGGAAAACACACTCTGGACGCAGGCTGGGCTTCATTCTCAGGGGAACACAAGCCTGAAGTGAGCCTTCCCTTCCTTCACCTCCTCCCAATTCCTTGCTTCTGTCTCCCTCTGTCTCAAGGGTTCTCTGCATTTCACCCTTCTTACCTTTTCTCTCTGTCACTGGGGTTTCTGAGGATGATCCAATGAGCAGACAGAGAAGCCAGAAAGCTCTCTCTGATGGCATTGTGAAGACCACTTTGGCAGTCTCTAAAGCTGAGCTTTCAGCCTTTGCTTTCCTCCCTCAATTCTCCACCCCCGTTCATGCTAATGAGGGGCAGCCTTTGGGGAAACTGGGAATCACTCACTGAACCGACCACTGGAACGAGAGCAAACTGCAAAGTGACCCTTCTACCTACCCTTCTCCCCTAGATGATGGGAATGGGCTCACCTCTTTTCCCTTTTCATTTTCAGTTGGAAGGATTAGATCACAGCCCATGCTCTGAAGAAAGGAGAACATACTAAAGAATTCCCAGAAGTCATCACCAGGATGGTGAAAGATACTGAAACCCTCTCATGCTGGACCAACTAATGCATGAATGTGAAAACATTATTAAGCTCTTACTGTATGTCAAGCACTAGAGACACAAATACTGAATGTAGACAGTCCAGCTCCAGAGGAGTTTACATTTTAGTATCTAGCATCTAACAGAGGTAGATGACGTATATAAAGGGAAAGGTGGCTAGAGAGAAATATTTTCATTTGGAAAGTTAGAGGAATGATCAGTGGAACCACAGAAAAGTAGAGTGACATACCCTTCAAAGTAGTAATATAGTAATAGTATTAGTATGACTATTAGTAATAGTCATAGTAGATTATAAATAGTAAAAATTGTTTAAAAAAAAGTAATAATAGTAGCTCCAGATTGGAAAGAGAGTCAGGGAGAGAAAAGAAAAGAAGGGATTTGCCACCCAAGCAATAGCAAGTCAGCTGGCAAGAAGATGGGGAGAGGATGGTTAAAGTGAAGTATGAGTAGGACTTGAGTGAAATAGCATGCCAAGGGAAGCACACATCAATCAGAAAAGCAGCTTTCCCAGGGCAAGATTCCTTCAACAGAAAGGATTAAGTCATTAGGGCCTGACCTCTGATTCAGCCTGGCAAAGACGGCCTGGTTTGGAGCATCTGAGAACACCTAGGGATGATTTAAGGATTATTTCTCTTTTTTTAAAATAACTGATTTTGATGTATTTTGTTTTTATAATACTTACACTTCCCCCTGCATCCTTCTCTCGAAACCATTTCTTATAATCAAAAAGAAAATTTTAAAGAGGAAAAAAATCAGCAAAACCAACATATATGTATATACATACACACATACATATATGTGTGCATATACATGTGTATGTGTGTGTATGTGTGTGTATTTGTATTTGTGTGTATGTATATAGACATATATGTACATACATATATATATATAATCTGACTTATATGAAGTTTCACATCTATGGACCCACATACATCTACAAAGGAGCACTCCTCTGGATTTCATCATATCTCCACATGTCTTTTCATATATTGTCTTTCTTTGTATTCCCAGTGCTTAGTAAGGTGTCTGAAACATAGTAGGTTCTTCATAAATGTTATTGGCTGCAAGGCACTGTGGTGATCCTGGAGCTACTATTCCTCAAATAAAACTGCCCTTGCCATCAAGAAGCTTAAAAACATTTGTTCAACCTTAAAATGATTTGTAAATGTGAATTGTTATTAATGACAGTGACCCCTAACCTCTAAAAGAGGTTGTTGTCCAGATCTTCGCTCCAGATAGGAAAATTTTCTAAGTAGAGCTATCCAGCAGTGGAAGAGTCTGACTCAAATGGGAGTAAACACTTTGTCACTATAGGTCATAAACCGGATTCAGGATTACCATCTGTCAGGAATACTGTAATGGGGTTCCTATGAAAAATGAGAGGCTGGTCTACAAGTCTGCCTTCCAATTCAATTATTCTGACGTCTGGGATATATCTGTCCTCTTCAATATACATATATTTCCTGAGCTCACTATCCCCAGGCAAAGTACTTTATGGATAGCAGGAGCTTAGTGTTTGGTTAGTTGAATTGAAAAGCATCAGACCAAAACATAGACTTGTTTTATTTAAATGTTGCTTGAACATGGGCATGGGCAAAGCTTCAATTCCTGATTCCAATTCCTGTATTGGTTTAGTACATGTGGCCCCAAAAAACAGGCTTGGGCTTTTGGTCCATTTTGTTTGTCCTTTTTAGTGCTAGATTCAGGCAGTAGAATCCCTGGACCCAGACTCAAGCCATGGTGGTCTTGGAAACAGGGATACAGTGTGGATGTTGCAGTCAGCTCATAAGGGAAGCCCTGAGAATCCAGTCTGCTGGGATGCAAGCCCAGGGAGCTTTGGATCTAGAACTTGATAGGATTGTATAATAGAGGAACTGAGTTAAGTTGGGAACCTAATCTCTTTCTCCTCCTCAAAGGCTAAGCTGGTATAAGGCAGGAGGGGAATGGAAGGATTATGCCTCCCACATGTTAGGGGAAAAGCTGTAAATTTGTACTTGCCATACCTTTGAAGTAAATACTCCTTTGCAAAAGCTAATTTGTTAAGTGGCTGAAAGGAACTGGGGTACAGGTGACCTTCCAAAATTGAGGAAATACAATTGGTGGGGTTGAAGCAATAGGAGTCAGGGTAGTCATTGTGATATGTGGGACCTTGTCTGGGATAAAATTGGGCTTTCACATTTGTAGGGACACTTAGAGAAATTCTCCACCTGAGAGTTTTTATTTTAGATACTCTAGACTTCAGAGATCCTAGAGAAATTGGCCAAAAAAATAATAATAATAGGTGATCTGGGCATGCTCAAAGCCCTGGAACATTTTGCTTTGAATATACTTTGTATTTGCTAACTGTTTACATGTATTCCTCCAAGACAATATAAGCTCAATATAAGCTCCTTGAGGGTAGGGACTGTTCTGTTTTTGTCTTTGTATCTCTAGCACCTATTCCAATGCCTCAGCACAAAATAAATATTTAATAAATGTTTGCTGAATTGAATTAAAATTACCTTTCACCTTTGGAAAATTGTTCTCAAAATGCTAAAGGTTGGAATATCCAAGTATAATCATGCCCAGAGTTCATTTGATCTGATGTTGTTCAGTTATGTCTGACTCTTTGTAACTCCATTTCTGGTTTTCTTGGTAAAGATGCTGGAGTAGTTTGTCATTTCTTTCTCCAGCTCATTTTACAAATGAGGAAACTGATGCAAACAGGGTTAAGTGACTTGCCTAGGGTCACACAGCTACTAAGTGTTTGAAGCCAGATTTTAACTTAGGTCTTCCTGACTCCAGACCAGGTAGTCTATCCGCTGTGCCACCTAGCTGCCCCACACACATGATTAAAAAAATACCAATTTCTATGATACAAAAAGGAGTAAGAAAAAAAACAAAATCTACATGGGAGGAAAAATACAGAAAAAACTGAAAATAAGCCATTTTATGGTATTAAATAGAAATAGGTTAACAAATAGTTTTGACCTTTAAAATTTATTTGTTGCATTTAAAGTCTGAACTGTCTCCCTCCTTCCCTTCCTCCTCACCCTGTACTAGAGAAGGCCATCATCTGATACAGATTTATAAATATAAGTAAAACCATACTATGCATACTTCTATTTATCAGTTCTTTCTCTGGAGGTGGATAGCATCTTCATAGGTTATTTATAGTTGATTTGGATATTTATAGTTGCTAATTCTATATACAACATTCTCTCTGTTCTGCTCACTTCACTTTTCATTATTTCATGCAAGTCTTCCCATGATTTTCTAAAACCAACCAGCTCATCATTTCTTACAGCTCAGTAGCATTCCATCATGATCATATACCACAATTTGTTTAGCCATTCCCCAATTGACGGGCATCTCTTCAGTTACCAGTTCTATGCCACCACAAAGAGAGATGCTATAAATACTTAGAACATAAAGGTCCTTTCATTTTTTCTGTGATCACCTTGGAAAACATACCTAATAGTGATATTGCTAGGTCAAAGGGTATATATATTTTTAGAACTCTTTGGGCATAATTCCAGATTGCTCTCCAAAATGTTTGGATCACTTCACAATTCCACTAACGGTGTATTTATGTCCCAATTTTTCCATATTTCCTCCATTTGTCATTTTCCCTTTCTATCATTTTAGTCAATCTAATAGATGTGAGATGACATCTCAAAGTTGTTTTAATTCACATTTCTCTAATCAATAATGACTTAGAGCATTTTTTCATATGACTATATATAGTTTTGATTTCTTCTTTGAAAAGCTGCCTTTTCATAACCTTTGACCATTTGTCAATTGGGGAAATGACTCATGTTTTTATTGATTTGACAAAGTTCTATATATATTTGAGATGTGAGACCTTTATCTGAGAAACTATCCATAAAATTTCTCCCCCCATTTTCCTGCTTACTTCCTAATCTTGGCTACTTGGTTTTATTTGTACAAAATCTTTTTAATTTAATGTAATTTAAATTACCCATTTTACATCTCACAATACTCTTTATCTCTTGTTTATTCATAAATTCTTCTCCTACCCATAAGTCTAATAGGTAACATGTTCCATGTTCTTCTAGTTTTCTTATAATGTCTCCTTTTATGTCGAGATCATGTACCCATTGTGACTTTATCTTGGTAAATGGTGTGAGATATTGATCTATACCCAATTTTTTCCAGACTGCTTTCCAATTTTCCCAACAATTTTCACCAAATAGTGTATCCTTATCCTCAAAGCTTAAATCTTTACATTTGTCAA